GATCTTTGGTATGAAATTCTGGATTTGGAAATAGAAGGGATAGAATCAAGTTGAACTTTTGATTTAAGCGATAAGGAGCTCTAGCAATTTGTCGTATGATAGGAGTGCTGTCGATTGATTTTATGGTCCTATTGTCAGTATGAAATTTCACTTGATTCCTTGCTCGGATTTTGTAAATGGAAATCATCATTTGAAATATTTTGTAGCTTATTTTGAGGGGATTTTCTTATTTAAGAGGAGTTTTCTCCCAATAGTTTATCCAGCAGTCTTTTATAGCTGTTAATTTTATTTTCATTATTAAGTAATATCCGTAAAATATGACAATAATTCTAGCATTCATAAAATAATGAAGCTAGATTGAAATCCATCAGTATCCGTTGAATGACTATAATTATAATTAAAATTAGTGATGCTGTTTGATCTGAACTCGGATGAAACAATGGAGATTGACAAGTACTGAATTAAAATTAGTACGATTACAATCACTTAATTAGGATATTTTGTTAATAAAGTTATGGTTTCAGTGAAATCACTTGGTCTTGATATACATCATAATTCGAGTGCTAAAAAAAATTGGCAAAAGCAATCAAATTTTAGGGTGAATAGGACAAGTGATGTTTAGAATAATTTTAATTTTAAAATAAGGTCAGCGTCATCAAAGAAGTTTCGTTTAAATTGAAACACGTGGTTATTTTTTGTCAGATGAAAAAGATTAATCCTAGAATTCGACGTGAGCGATGTAAATATGAATAAAATAATGGTTGATAGTAGCATTACATGTAATCAAATTTTAGCAATTATATATTGCGCAAAAGCTTGCTAGTAACTTATATATATTGAAATTAAAAGATTAGAAGTTGGAAATTAAAAGATTAGAAATTGGAAGTTTTTTTTTTTTGTTTCCTTTAAATTTCCAGTTGTAATTTTCGAATTTCTCCCATGGTTTTTTCGACGTAATATCATTGATGCATTTCGTGTTAACTGCAATAATTTAAAATCAAATTTCAGGTTATCTGTTTTTCTGCATTCTATACCATATTGTTAGTTTTGCATTCGTTGGCTATATGAGTGATCGAACGCGATTATTATCAACAGCGTTTGTTTAGCTTCCTTTCTTTTTTTTGAATTGATCACATTGTAGTTTGATACTGGGATAAGATTAATGATAAGAGGAATATCATGATATATAGTAAAGAAAAAGAGCTAAAAAATTTTGTGATATAGTTTGATAATTTGTCCTGTTGGTCCTGTTGTTTGGAGATCAGGCGTATAATTTTAACTGACCAAGTTTATTGAACACAGTGAATAATTTTAGTCTGGATCCAAATGAAGATCCTGTAACGGGTCTGGAGAGAGTAGCATCCTTTACAAATGAGAATGCAGAAGTAAGGAGAAGAAATCGCGAACAGGCGCAACGTGAATTGGCAGAAGCTCGCCGGTACAAATCGCATACAAACAAAGAGAAAGAAGGCGCAGTTTCTTCACGATACGAAAGTTTAAATTATGAAATTGTCGAAAATAAACTCTATCAGGCTGAGGAGATGGAACCTGGCCATCAGGTATGCTCTTATTTTTCACAGGGAAGTGTTTTGCTTTCCAATTCTCTACTTATATCTTTCGGTGTACAAATTTTTACGATGTTAAGAAACTTCCAACTCCGAAATCGTATTAGATTGACAGGAAAGTATATATGAAATATCATATTCATGTTGTTATAAATTAATAAATCGAAAGCTATATAATTTTAAAATCCATGCTTTATTTGCAGAAAAAACTTTTTCGCCAATCAGTAAATAGATGGGTTGTGTGTTTCTTTATTGGAGTTTTTACTGCAATTGTTGCAGCTGCTATAGATATAACGATATACTATAGTAGTCTAGTCAAATTCCGCTTGATCATTAGCAGTTGTAAGCACTTACTTGGTTTATCCTTAATTACTGTCAAATATCACATATATTGGATTTTAATGAATAATAGTTGCTGTATAATGTCTCATACATCGATGTCATATTTTTACTAATGTCGACTTTTCTTCTTCGTTTTCAGTGTTAAATTTTTGTGAGAAAAGGATGGAAGTTGGAGGTGGTTGCATATGGACGGTAGAATTTGCATGGATTTGCTATAATTGCATTCTGATCACAATTTCCGCTTGTTTAGTTTTATTTCTCTCTCCTATTGCTGCTGGTTCAGGTTTGTTTCCAGGAGTTTTTAAAAATATTCTTAGAGGAGTTCTAATTATAAGTAAATGTTTTTATTGTTCACTTCTAAATGATTGCTTGCAGGTATTTCACAGGTCAAATGTTTTCTAAATGGTGTAGAAATACCAGGTGTTGTACGACTAAAAACTTTGTTTGCAAAAGCATTTGGTGTAGCATGTACAGTTGCTGGTGGCTTAAGCGCTGGAAAGGTAATATCGTTTTTATCTCTTTCTAGCCGTTATGGAATAGCTGTTTATTGGACTTTCTGAACAGTTCAATTCCTTGATATGTTAATCATAAATTTTATTCACAGTAAATACAGGAAGGCCCGATGATTCATTCTGGAGCAGTGGTTGCAGCTGGTATTTCACAGGGCAAATGCGTCACCTTCTCACTCGACTTCCATATTTTTGAACAATTTCGGAACGATCAGTGGAGTTTAATTTTTCTATACTGGTATCTAACTTTAAATAGTATGCTGTTTTTTGAAGCAAAATTTTTCAGTGAAAAGCGCGATTTCGTGAGTGCAGGTGCAGCAGCTGGGGTAGCTGCAGCTTTTGGTGCCCCTATTGGTGGAGTTCTATTCAGTTTAGAAGAAGGAGCTAGCTTTTGGAACCAAAGTTTAACTTGGCGCATGGTTTGTATTTACTGTTTCCCTTCTTTTTTTGAGGGCGTATTAAGTCGTGCTCCTTCTTGATGTCACGCATTAAATTGTCCTCAACTACGATTTTATGAGATGTTGGTTGTTGCACTATTTTCATTCGACATTCTATTCATCAAAATCTTTGCTTACTTTCAGTTTTTTGCTGCTATGATATCCTCATTTACTTTGAATTGTATCCTCAGCGTATTTCATGGAGTTGGTGGGTTTTTATCATGGAATGGATTAGCAAATTTTGGTGTTTTTGAGGTGACATTCACTCTTGTATCAATAACTACTTTTTAATAACTGTTGAATAACTTTTTAATAATTTTTAATAACTTTGACTTGCTTTTGATAATTTTTAACCCTCTAATAACTTTTAATAACTATTCGATCTCTTTTTTCTTTCTTTGCTAGTAATATAAATAAATATATATGTATACATATATATATACATATATATATATAATGAATTATACATAATGAAGCTTGCCTAATGCTAACAAAATACATCTTTTTTCTTTCAGAATCATAGCTACAACATTTGGGAAATACCGATCTTCCTTCTCATTGGCGTTCTTGGAGGCCTCTCTGGCGCTTTATTCAATTGTTTGAATTTAAAACTCTCACGATTCAGGAAGAAGTTAGTTCTAATTTCAAATATTATAAAAAATATGGTTTGGAAGTGATATCTTATTGTTTTATTACTAAAAAGCTGAAGTACAGAAAATTTATGATGTCCTTCAATGAAAATTTTTTGGTTTTTATTTGAGGTATATTCGAAGCAAATGCCAGAAGTTGATGGAATGTTTACTAGTTGCTGCAGCGTCCGCATTTACTGGATTTATTACACTGTTCTTAGTAAATGACTGTCAGCCAGTTGGCCGTAACCCAAAATTAACCGAAGTCACAAAGGCTAGTATGCATAGCAAATTTCGTTCATTAAGACTTGATATTTGTAAGTTTTGTGAAATTCTAAAACTTCTGAGCAAAGTTTTTGAACAAAGGAACACCTTTCGCATCTCCAGAATAAAACTTTGAAGGAAAAGCAGTATTCTGTTGAACTGTCTTGCGTAAACAAATAAATTTGGGTTTGCAGCTGTGGTGTCGCAAGGGTCAATACAGTGCTGTAGCAAATTTATTCTTTCAAAGTCCGGAAGAAAGTGTCAAAAGTCTGTTTCATAGTCCAGCAAGTGAGTTGATCATTTTCAGAATTTTATGTTTCCAACAGAATCACTATTTTATTCTTTTATTTCTACTTCATTAAGAGATTGTATTATGAAAAGTAGTAGTATCTTGAAATCCCGATTCAGTTATTTTATGGTAACTACCGTTAAAGTCGTACTTTATTAGATTCGTATGCGGCTAGTACGCTATTAATATTTGCTGTCGAGTATTACTTCTTATCATTATGGACATATGGGCTGTCAGTTCCGAGCGGTATTTTCATACCCACATTGTTGACAGGTGCAGCATGGGGTCGTCTTGTTGGAGTTATTGTCGAATACATGTTTCCTGATATTGTAAGTTATAAGTCCCGTCAATCACTTTTAAATTTTCTGCTTTGTAAAGCTTTAACAATTGTCGATGTTCAATTATCTGTTTGGAATCGTTAACACCAAATTTTTTTTTCGAGCAGACTGGTATGCATCCTGGTAAATATGCGCTTGCGGGAGCTGCAGCCCAACTGGGTGGTGTTGTGCGGATGACAATTAGCTTGACCGCTATTCTTGTTGAAGCAACCAGAGATATCACATTTGGTTTACCAATAATGCTTGTTCTTATGGTTACTAAATGGGTTGGCGACTTATTTAATGAGGTAGTTATTATTTTATATATGCAATAATATTTGCTGTATGGAAGTATTAAATATTATATATGTAATTCCAGGGTCTTATGATGCACATATTGAATTAAATGAGGTACCGATTTTGGGTTGGTGTGCGCCGGAACTATCACGCAACATATTAGCAGGGTAAGCTGTCCTTGCAAATATTATTCAAGAATCATGAATTTTGTTTAAGATTACAAACTATTTATATCTAAACGGAAAAATTAATGATATCAAGAAAACTATTCGCTACATTTCCGGCACTATTTCCCATCTTAATGATCTCTGATAAGATAAGCCTCCCTCTTTCACTCTTCCTTAGGAAAATGCAGGCAATTTCCAAAAGTTTTATTGTCAAGATAAATTATATTTTCACCACCTCTTTACTTTTCTAATGTGTTTTATTTGCTTTAAAAATTTTCGAAGGACTGTACGATATGTCGAAAACGTTAATTGATGACTTATTGATCAGGACAATATTATTGTTTATTTAATGTATTTCTGCATTCGAAATAAAATTTTCAAGGAGTATAATGAGGAAGGATGTAGTAACAATGATGCCGAAAGAACGTGTTTCACGCGTGGTTGAAGTTTTACATGCTACATCACATCACGGTTTTCCAGTTATTAATGAAATTAATTCTCCGTCGAACGAGGAAGAAATACCTGAATATGGTCATCTGAAGGGGTTAATCCTGAAATCGCAGCTAATCATTCTGATTAAGAAACGAGTAAGCTAATTTGCTAATTTGTCTGATTTTTCGGTTCGCTACTTTGAAGTTTAGGAAAATTTTTGATGTTTACTGTTCATGTTATTATCCGCTCATTTCTGTTAGTAATCTGAAAACACAACCATATGTCATATTTCACTACGCGTTTTAGTACGTAACGATGCTTTTTCCAAAACGCTTTTTTTTTTTAAATGTAAAGTTCTTTTTTTCGTACTCACATTAGCGAAACTGGACATTTTACAAACGAATAAAATAGAACTACCGCAAATAAGGATTGTACATAATTCCAGTTTATGATTTACAAGCATGTTTTTTTCCTGATTTTCAGGTTTTTTACAAGGATCCTGACTGTCAAGTTTTGGTAGATGGAAGCGAATTGGTTCAGCTGTCTGATTTCGCCGCTGAATATCCGAGTTAAGTTATTTTAAAGTTATGTCCATTATGTCCTTTATTAATTTCTGTTTTTCGCGTTACTGTAAGTATTTTCAGGCATGACGAATATTTAGCAAAGTTACAACTGTCTGAAGGGGATAGAAATTGTTGGATAGACTTAACTCCTTATATGCATTCAAGTCCTTATCGAGTACCTTTGAGTGCTTCGTTGCCATCGATATTTCATCTCTTCCGTGGATTGGGATTGCGCTATGTAGCTGTCATTGATGATGAAAATAAAGTGCTTTTTACATTTTTTTTTAGCAGCTCATCACAGTTTGATTCCCAGTTTTATTTGAAATTCGAATTCTTGTTATATGTTTGATGGAAAATAATTTCTAGCTTCGTGGAATTATTACTCGGAAAGACCTCGCAAGATTCAAGGGACGTCGAACTTTCGGAAATTATGCTATATGGGAACGTTTTGTCTCGGACTTCGAGACTTGAAGTTTATTATTGTATTTTTTACTTCTAGTTCACTTCTAGTCCAATAAAGTCTTCACAAAAATTTTTGAAGAGTTTTCATCTTCTGCAGAAATTACGAAATTTTCACTTCACTGGCTTCAAATTTTCACTTCGAACTTGTTTATTTTGAAATGTTGAAGTTAATGGATCCGTTTAGTGATCAGTTCAGTAATTTTTTGCAATATCAACTGTACAGATTTCATAATGGCAATTATGTTATTTATATTTTCAGTCAATTTATAATCTATGTAAATAAATAAAATCTTAAACTTCTCATAGTCTCTTTTGATTTTAACATCATATGCTTTGTTCTGTAGAACTTATTTATTGTTTGATTTTTGTAATGAAATATTTGGTTCCAGTTCAGTGTATTGTTGTTTTTGCTGTACAAGAAGGTTTTCGCTCCATTGAACCAATTTTTTCCAGAAGAATGATAATAGAAAGGGTCAATTTAAGCGAGATCATAAGAAAATCATAGTTTAAATTTATTCGAAAATTTCCTTACACGACTTTACACGGTCACTTTTTCATTAATAGCACGATATGCTGCCAAACTGGAATATTTGAATTCGTAGATTCCGAAAGAATTGAGCTGTCATTCATTATGGCATGATTAATGTTAAAATTAAAGCTGGATTGCAGGATGCTCATTTTATTGTTTTGCTGCATACAATACGTTCAAGCAGTTGGTCATTGGACGGTCGATTTACAGTATTCAGCTTCAGGTTCTAGTCTATTATTCTGTTTATTCCTACAAATCTGTTCTCTTCATATGTTTTGCATATTTGCGGAGCAAATAAACAATTTGCTTTGCAAGAATATTTGGAGTGGAATATATCGATATTGAAAACTGTCAAAAATTTGACTGCTTGACAGAAGTGAATCTAGAAACTAACTTTCATTCTTTAAATTGAAAAGATGTATGGATTATCATCCAAATACTTCCGAAGTTTTACATTTGTTTGATATTTATTTTTATTTATAGATACAGACGATTTCATTTTGCTTGGTACTATAACTGTGGATAGGACACTTGATAATAATTATACAGCTTATTTTGAATCTTCTGTTAATCCAAGTAAATGGCAAAGTGATCTCTTGCAAGCTGCAAAGAATGGATGGACTTACCGCGTTAGAGTCGATAGTGATAAAGAAGATGTACAAGGTTACAATGAACCGGTGAGTTAGTTTCAGTTGGGTTTTTTGACTGATATTCTGTAACTTCTCCAAAATATTTTCTCACAAAGAGAAGTGACTACATGATCGATAATTAAAAAGCACTAAAATAAAGTTTTTACTGTTAGTATTGCATATGTAACAATGGATAGAAAAAGATTTTCGACAGTTTCAAACCTATTGTTAATACTGATAACTCAATTCCTTTATTGATGTGTCTGCAAGAAAGGTTGTTGTTTTTCAAGATGAAACAATTATTTTCATCATTTTGCAGTGTTTGATGCTGCGAGCTAACGGAGTTCATCATTTTCGGGTATTTTTGGACCCTGATCACCAGAATTTGCAATCTTTGGCTATTTTTCCGGAGAATTTATTTACCGTTGGAACAAATTACCACTTTTGTGAAACAGATTCGTTCACAGAGGGTAGCAAAATAAGAGGATCGGTTATAGTGAACACAATTAATGAATTGCCCCTGTAATTGTTTTTTTAAAATTTTGTTAGCATGTGCCAGTGAAAGTTATTGAATAATAGTTAATGAAATGCAGGGTTTCACTTATAGTCTCAAATAGTGGCATTTTGAAACACATATACTAGTGCTTTCTTTAAGGCCTGATGCAGTTTCATATATTCGAAAGATGGAAAAAGAGCGGCAAGCGAGGCAGCATGGAGCTCAGCAGGACAATCGAACGTTTATCCAGAAATATGTAAGTTGAGAAATTTTTGGTTGTTTCCAATTTAATGAAGCAATTAGTAATACAAGTAATGACTCTTAACTCTTTTTTAGTGGATGTATATAGCTGCAGCATTAATTTTTATGGTCATTTCTAATGCTACAACTGCTGAACAAAGTGGAGAGTAGAAATTATTTCCTTCATGGAGCGGAAGAATAAAATTATGATTATATTTCTTGTTATATTTATACTTGTTGTATTCGTTTTGAATTCCACTGCTTTTGTACAAACGGTCGTAAGTATTGTGACTCGTATTTCGAATATTTCCGTAGGACAATAATTGAAACTCAGTAATAAAATACAATATATGCAAAGAAAATCTCAAGCCGTTAAAAGTGTACAGTGCATGTAGGGCTGGCAAGAAACAAGTTTTGGGAGTTCTTGTTACTTCTCTTCATGCTTTGTTCCTTCGCGAATTTTGTGGTGGACGCTGGTTTGTCCCGGCGAAATTGTACTTTCCTATACTTCAGTTTCCAACAGATTTTTTGTTTTAGGAATTGTTGCGCCAGATTCCTCAAAAGTCATATACAAACAACTCATCCAAATGAGTTATACGATAAAAGCGACATTGAAATGTACTGCAATGTCTGACTCATAGCTCTGTCCTTGATAATTTTTTTGTCTAGTTACATTCAAGAAATCCCGAAAAGTCAAGTATGAAAGAGTTCTTTAGCGTTGCTCTTTAGTGCTCCTGTCATTCTTGGATTTCTTTTGAATGCAAGCAGTTTCCGTACATCCGTTGTGCTAATGTAGCGAATAGCATTTAACGTATTGAGTCTTTCTGGATGTCACAACTCATTGCAGTTGAATTTTGGATAGGTTGATGTGTAGAAAGTATGCCAAGTACAAACCAATCCCTATGAAATCTCGACAAAGTTCTAGCGTGTCTCCTTACTTCCGAGTGTCATCTCATCCATTCTTCACCACCGGGACTGGTTGTTTCATTCGTGAGCCGCGTGAAGAAGATGTCAAGGAGCGAAGATTTGGCTTCTGTTTACATTTATGGAGTGGTGTTGAGCGCTTGCGTCTTGTCTTGACGGTAGTGATTATAAGGGCTTGAGATATCGGTGATGTAAGACATCTGTTGTTACTTAACTAGGACAATGGAAGAAAGGAAGCCGCCCATTGTTTTGTAATGACAAAAATGTTAGCACATAATATGTTTAAAATTTATTTTTGGAAGGCCAAAATGAATAGTCGTCAAAGTGACATGATACCCTCGACGAGTGCCTCCACGCCTTCTATGGAGAATCTGAAAGAACAACCAATCAGTTCAGGTGCTTCCGCTCAAAAGGTACCTTGTGGTATATATATATATATATATATATGTCATTTCAAGTTTCAAATTTTCATTGTTGTTTGCATTATGTTGATTGTCGATTCGCTGGTAAGTCAGAATTGTTTATTAAAACAATCAGAAGGTTTAGCAAGACATTACTGGCAGAAACTACTGTAAAGATATTTAAGCTGATGTTTACATGGATTAAAATAGTCTGAGTGATTTACTCGAACATTCCTACATTTCATCCAGGATTATTTATTGTGAAAAATGAAAATGCTAATGTATATTTTGTTTTTGAAATATTTCACTGAAATAATTAATGGTAGGGTGTAAAGTTAATGGCTTGAAAGCTTTTTATTGTCAGGTTTCGGAAGTCTTCTTGGCTGCTGGGCAAGCTTTTCAGAAGTTGGGTGGACTTATTGCAAATTTGCATAATCCAAAAAATGGAGTCGAGAGGTTCTTTTTTACTTCTGATTGGTGAATAGATTTAAGCGACAGGCTTCATTGCTCTGTTGTCTACAATTTTTTGTTTAGTTCAAACTAGGAAAGTGTGATCATATTTAGAAATTTTTAGTTCTAACTCTTAATAGCAAAATCGATAAATGAATGAAATGAGAAGGTCAACGTGGTAAGTGAATAATAGAGCAAATACTGCAGTTTCAGCCAATGCCGGGAGAGTTTTTGTGGTCGGTCTGGTGACCTCTGCGGTTTCATATAACTATAAGTGTGGCTAATGTTTTTGTTTATTTATTCGAATATTCTTCTTGTTCAGAGGGACATCCCGCGTATTAGCGGTAGATCAGAGAAGGAGAAGATGGTGCTTTAAGTTACGAAATTCCAGGAAATGGACAAGTTCGGATACCAGTAGTTTGCATGACGCGGTTTCGCGTTTTGCAAGCGATTTGCAGCGCATCAGTGAAACAGTTCAAGGAAGAGAAGTGTAAGTTGTAGTTTAAATCGCAGAATTTTCATTTGGTTTGGAAATTTCAGGTTGAACTAAATATATCGGGTTTCGTGGAAGATGGAAAGAATAGATTTTAAAAGTAAGAGAGGAGAGAAAGGGAAATTGTAGCAATATGTCTAACTGATGCTTGATTTGAACCGTTTTGAAATTTAGAATAGGAAATTGAAAGAGTAATGATTTCTGGGAGCGC